GAATAGTGGACCAACTCAAGCAGGAGTTGATTAATTTGTAAAGCAGAGAGGGAGCCTCTCTCTTAGACACCCAGGTGCTGGTCACCCTCTCTCTCAGTGCCAGTGTCCTTGGGAAGCTGAATAAGGTGTTGGGAGGCTGTGCGTGGGCTTGGACTCACCATTGGCAGGTGGAGGGGTTTCCAGGAGCGCGCCTGGGACTGGCCTCCCTGTGCCCGGTCCTCAACTGATGTCAGCTCTTCAGAGGCTAGAATCCCCCTTTACACCGGCCTCTGTGTTCCCCTACACTGAGCACCCAACTTCCATCATGACTCTGCATTTCCTAAGCTCCCACGTGCTGCATGCCCGCCCCGCCCGCCCCCGCAACTCGGTCCTTCTTTGACAGAAGACCACAGGGCAGCCACAATCAAATCACCTTCGCTGGCCCAAGACCCATCCTGAGCTCGTGTTTACTGCAAACTCCCAGTGGTTTTCAATCCCCTTGTCCTCTTCCACAGCCCGTGTCTCTAATCTTGGCATTCTGAGTTCTAGAAATTCCTATCAAATTAGACTCTTGGCATCCAAATACTTACTCTGGCTATGACTTCACCAATCCTCCCAATACTTGGCTGCTATGAGTTCACCAATCCTCCTAATGCTTGGCTGCGTGTCCTAAAGGTTTTTTGTTTTTTGTTTTTTTTCCATTTATTTTTATTAGTTGGAGGCTAATTACTTTACAACATTGCAGTGGTTTTTGTCATACATTGAAATGAATTAGCCATAGATTTTTCTAAAGGTTTTGTAATGTGTGGTTCTCAGGTGATGTCAGCCCATGAAGGGATTGCTCTCATGAAAACCACTCTTTGTAACTTATAAGTGATGGCAACAATGACGCATGGTAGTGACTCTGTAAGAATTATGAGGTTTTTAAAAAATATTTTTTGATGTGACTATTTTTAAAGTCTTTACTGAATTGGTTACAATATCACTTCTGTTGTATGTTTTGATTTTTTGGCCCTGGGTCATGTGGGGTGTTAGCTCACCAACCAGAAGGTCGAATCTGCAACCCCTGCACTGGAAGATGAAGTCTTAATCACTGAACCACCAAGGTAGTCCCAAGAATTATCAGTTTTTAAACTTTATCTTTGGGAAATCATTCTTTGGACTTAAGTATTGAAAAGCAGTGTTCAATCTGTCACGAGATCAGGTTGGACCTTATGCCTTTCAGTATGTGTTTTCAGCCACAGGCTTTTTTTCAGATTTTACTAGTTGGGTTTTGTAAGTAGTGGATTACAGGAAAAAAACTGAAAATTGTTTTTACAACAAATATGATAAATGTAAGATATTTGCATTTTTATGAATAACTCTCCAGATTTGCTAGAATGGTGTGTGGTCACGTGGGTGGAGCCAGTTTGAGACAATTTTCATGAACAGGTTGCCATGTAAATCAGTATATAAGAATATGTTTTAAGGGATTATCAAGTCCTCTCTGTGGTAGAGACCCCAGTGCTCACCGAGGATGCTACTAGTTGTCCTGTTATCTCTCAGTTGCTTCCTGTGTAGCAGCGTCATTGACCAGGACTGGCCAGCACACAGTAGGTCAAATGACTTGTGTGTCTCCTTCGTACTGAACATAGAAGAGGGTGTGAGTCTTCGTGGGTTCTTTCTCTCGCCTACTGACCATCACAGCCTCGTGCTGTGATGACAGACCTAAGGGTGAAGGTTGCAGCAGCCTGAATCTCTGAGTCACTGCATGGCAATCTATGGTCTTGGGGAGTTACCCAAATCCTCCATGAAATTTGTGTAAATGATAAACACACCTTTGTTGTGTGAAACCTCTGAGATCTGGGGGCTGTTTCACTACAGTAGAACTGGTCTAGCTTGGTGAATATATTCTAGAAGAGCGTCTGAAAGATCTTTGACCATGACTCCAATAAGAAGTGTATTACACGTTGTGAGCCAATACACTCAGACACGTACACACACACATTTCTGACAAAAAAATCAGGAAACAATTATCATTCATATGCATGATTTATTGTTATGCTATCTTATTCTACCCAAAATGCTGGTTTTAACTCCCTAAATTTATATGACAACTGCCAATGGGGTATAACCTGAGTCTGAAAAATGCTGCTGTAGATCATAATTTGTGTATGATTTGTTTGTTAATTCTAAATCTTTCATGCATATTTATGAAAGCAAACTTTTTAGCTCTTTCTCTGGCAATTTTTAATTTTCTCTCCCAGAATGGATGTAAGTGTTTCTATGTAATGCATACCACATCCCACATAATTTCTGGAAGGTAATGTTTTATTGTTGAATCTCCTAATTTACATCATGTATTTTAAAATTTACTTATAAAATGTTGTCACAGGTAATAACAACATTAATGTGATTATTATTCACTTATTTTCTTTTTAAAAAAACTAAATGACTATAAATAACTATCTCTTGCATTAGAATCAGGATATCACAAAACCTCACTAGCTGAACATATTTTAGTGTTAATACTTGTGCAAAAAATGAAATAGAGACCAAATATTTTTAAATAGCACTATATATATTTTATGTACTGTATACTCATATCAAAACTTGCCATTTCTATTAAGAAGCTGATAAGTTACTCTCTAATTTCATAAATTAGACCACAACTGTGAAAATATGGACAACTATTTTGTATCTGTGCTGCTATATAAGATACTTAAAGTTTATATAGAAAGGTGCAAAATTACAGAGGTAAAGTAATGGGAATTCATGAACATTTCACCTGAATTTCCACTGGCCTTTTTCTTCAGCCAGAATCATTTTTATATCCTCTGAATATACTTTTAGAAATGAATGTGGTATCTGTTTCTTCAGTAAATACACATACACAAATTTTAGGTATATGTGTGTATATATGGTTATATAAGTGTATATAAAGATATATACACATATATACACATGTGTATTAGTCTGCATATGTATATATATATATATATATTTCTGTTTGCACTTAAACACACATGCACACTTAATGTCCTTTGGTTTATTTTCAGACTGTTAATGAGAAATGAAATTTTGATGATTTCCATTTATTTTTGCTTTAAGTCTAAACTGGTTTAGAAAGACCTTTGGAACATGTAATAAATTTCTTTTAAAAATCATAAATATATGACATCATAAAGCATTCTATAGATGAGATCATATGGTGTTAGAGAAGGTAGAAATCCATGCCAACATGGGAGAAAAGAGAAAGAACACGGGTTTTCCAGGCTTTTCTGCCTTTAAGGAAGGGCCCTCTGGCTCTGTGTTGCCAACTTAGAGGCGAGGAACTCCAGGCTGCTCCCACGGGAAGGGAGAAATGTAGCCAGAAGGGTGGATCAGTTCTTGGGAACCAAATCAAACCAGCACATCAGTTTGGGGGGTCGGGTGGGCACTGGTGAGCTATTCCTTGGGTAGGAGAACAAAGTGACAGCCTCTCGGAAAGCCTTTCTACTTGGTGATGAGATGCTGTCTCTGGGGGTGACGGGGTAAGGGGGCATGTCACCTTTGGGTTGCAGGTTAAAGCCCCTTCTGGACTGCTTGGCTGCCACAACTGTAGCTGACTGTAGTGCTTTCCATGCGAAGGGCTTCTGCCTCCTTTGGATCTCAAGTTACCGGGAGATGAGCTGGCTTTTCCTCCTTCAGTGGGAAGGGCTCCATACAAATGGGGGTTCCTGTGAAGTGGTTGCCCACCTCTCCAAACCTGATCCCTTGCCCTCACACACCTCTTCCAGAACAGAGGCCATTTCCCCAACTCATCAACTGCAGAAGCTGTTTTCCTCCGATCGTGTATGGAAAACTCTCAAAAATGCTCACCTTCTCTCCCCCCCCCCCCATCAGATTAAGAAGCCCCAGAGCAGCGTCAGAAAGGAACATCCCTGTGCTAAGAACTGCTAAGCTATTCTTTCCTAGATGTGTCGTCATCCTGCCTTTCAATTTTTTTTTTTTTTTGCATAACTATGGAAGGAGCCCCAGAAAACTGGGGCTGGAGAAAGGCCAGGCACATGGAGAGTGACAGGGGCATCTCCCAGAGTTTACCATAACTCAGAGCAGCGGCTGATGAAAAGGCAGCCAGGCCACTGAGGTCTTATGCCTATTACACTGGCGAGCCAGACAAGCTATGACACTGACTGTGGTGGTAAGATTTCCTGCGTTCATGCTTTTGGACTCTCTCCTACCCATCTGGTAACTAGGGGACTTTTTGATTCATGCCACCTTCATTTACATCCCTGGAAAATCTTGCTAAAAGTCAATACATCTTTCCCCAAAGGATTTACAGCATCTGGGCTTTAAGAGACTCAGAGCTCACCTCTGTCATAAACCTGGCTCCTCCTTTTACATAATGGGTCCTCCCTTGAGGTCATGAATAAAACGTTCTTGGAGTCCCCAGGCCTGGCTTATTTAAATGCATTCTCTTCTCTTCTATGAAAGAAATGGAGGGGAGAGCTGTCCTGGGTTGGTTGGAACGATATCACCTATCTGAAGGACAGAAATGAAGGGCTTAGTCACAAACAGGACAGAGGTGTGAGTGGGAGCACTGTATTTGGGGCACAGAATAGAAAAGGTTGCTTCCATGGGAATGAAAGGAATCACTGACAGTGAATGAAGCTTCAGATCTAGATGTGGGCATCACTGGTGTGGGGGGAGGGTCACTGTTAGGCACCTGGAGGGGGCAATGGGGATGAAGGGGGGCCATGGAGGGGGCACTAGTCCTTGCCAGGGATGCTCTTCAGGCTTCTCTGCATGACTTCATCCAGCTCTTCCTCCAGCTCCTCCTTCTTGGACACGGCCAGCTTGGACTGGTGATCCTGCACCACCTGATCAATGTAGGCACTCTGTGTGCCATACAGCATCAGCGTCCACTCCTTCAGCACCCCCTTCTGGGACACGCTCCCCACGAAGCCCAGCTCCAAGGTCCAGGTGCCCCGGGCATCCTCCCCCCAGGTGTGGGTGGTCATGAAAGGCCACTTGTCGAAGCCCACCTTGGCGGTGGCGTCTCAGGGCCACTGGCTCAGCAGGATGGACTTGGTGCCCACGGGAGACATCACATTGATGTTCAGGTCCCCTCTCCTGGTCACGCTGACCGTGACGACTGCTTGGACGTGCTCCAGATAGTGGACGAAGTTTTCCTTCCCCTCGCATGCGTCGGTCGGTCGTGTCAGCACCAGCTTGCCAGTGGTCAGAATTTTCCTGAGGGCAGACTGGTGAGAAGACACAGTGAGGGGTGGGGACACTATCCCAGAATTTTTTTTTTTTTTAAGTTTTGGCTGCATCCAGGGGCATATGGGACCTTCGCTCCCCCACCAAGGATTGAACCCATGTCCCCTGCATTGGAAGTCAGTCTTGATCACAGGACTGCTGGAGGATTCCTATCCCAGGGGTTTTGAAGGCCACTCTGGGGAGCGGGGAGAGCATGGACTCTGGGGTCCGTGCTTGCAGTCTCTGATCTGTTTGGATGGGGTATGAAGCTGATGCAGTTGACCCCCTTCCCACTTCTCCTAGGTCTCTGCTGGGTTCTCTTGCAGCTGAGGCCCCTGTGGACCCTGATGGCAGAATGTCAGGGATTTGATCTGGAAGGAAAAACCCTAACCAATGATTGACAGGAGGATGTGAGTCAATACAGCCTGGGTTCCTCACTGCTGGTGGGGACAACTCAGCGTCCCCAGTGGAGTCGAGCCTAGTTGCCCAGGGCAGCTAGATGCCAGTCAGCACATCCTCTGTGTCTTCTCTATTGGGTTGCTCTATCTCCCTGTCTACATCGCCTCCTCCTCACCTGTGTCTCCTGAGATCATCTTTCAGAAAAAAAAAACTGTCAGCACCCATGTCCCACTAGGGCAACTGAGAGTGGGACGGGAGCTCAGATGTCTTTCTTTTACAGCACTAAGTACTTTGATAAAGATCAATTATTGCTGAAATGATTGTTATGACTATCTTAACAATATGATTGCAGCTCAGAAGTGACTGGTCATGGCCACACCTGACCGGTATGAGGTTGAGCACACTCCCCTCTCTACTGAGCTTCTGCTATTCAGGTCAAGTGTTAACGTTGATTTCCAAATTCACTTAAAATCCAGAGTTTGCCACAGCCTTCAGGGGCTTCCCTGGTGGTTCAGATGATAAAGAATCTGCCTGCAATGCGGGAAACCCGGGTTCAATCCCTGGGTGGGGAAGATCCTTTGGAGCAGAGAATGGCAACCCACTCCAGTAGTCTTGCCTGGAGAATCCCCATGGACAGAGGAACCTGGCGGGCTACAGTCCATGGGGTTGCAAAGAGTCCGACAAGACTGAGCAACTAATACTTTGCTCAAGGAGTTGAGTGGGCAGGGGAGGGTGGGGGCTAAGCCGGACTGGGTGCTCTGGGAACATGATGGTGGCGGGGTGGGCCAGGCTGCCTCTGCTCACTGACTTGGATGGTCCTGTGCAGACGCCTCACAGCCAGTTCTATTCTTCCCTTTTATTTTAGTCAAGCACCCTTCACGGACTCTCCTGATAGTCTCTTTAGAGAATTGCTTTTCGAGCTGCCTGCTTCTCCGAGAAGATGAGCACTGAGGAGACTCATAAATCTGACAGTCGCCACTCAGCGGCTCCCAGCCTGTTTCCATGCAGCCCGAAATAGACTTGGCCGCTGCCAGTGGGGCGTGGAGCCCTGCGGCCGGCCCGCGAGAAGCTGGATTCCTGGCAATAAGGGCTGCTTCTGCAGGAGGCCCAGCCGGCCTGGGCGCTGCCCTTGGAGCCTCCCTGCCCAGCCTCTGAGCTCTTCCAGCATGGCATCTGCCCCAGACCTCGCTCATCAGCACCTGAGATCAAGTTCAGGTGGGCGGTGGGTGAGGGGGCAGAGGGCACCCAGGAGACCAGAGCCCTTCCAACAAGGCCCAACCTCCCCAACCCCAAATTTCCCTGACTGATCTGACTGCCCTATTGCCTATCACCACTGTTTAGACGCCTTCCTTGTGCCCGGAGAAGCTGGCTGAATAGTCATTCATTCATTCATTCCACAAATATTGATCCCATAACTGCTAAGTTCTAGATCCTGAGGACACACCAGCAAATGGGACAGGCTAGGTTCCTGTCCTCGGGGAGCCCAACTGAGTTAGTTCTGAAAGTGCTCTTGAGGGACGGGCTATATACGTATAGTTATGACTGCCTCGGGGCTTCCCTGCTGGCTCAGATGGTAAAGAACCTGCCTGCAATGCAGGAAACATGGGTTTGATTCCTTGGTGAAGGGAATGGCAACCCACTCTAATATTCTTGCCTGGAGAATTCCATGGACAGAGGAGCCTGGCAGGGTACAGTCCATGGGATCTCAAAGAGTTAGACACAACTGAGTGACTAACACTTTCACTTTTCATGACTGACTTGCCTTGTTGTATGGCAGAAGCCTACATGACATTGTACAGGATATATTCTCCAATTAAATAAATTTTTTAAAAAGGAGCTCTCAACTTTCCTTTCATTGAAATAATGCTTCTGAGACCACCCACAAAATTCAGTCTTCTGGACCTTATCCAAAATCTCAGAAATCAGAACCTCTGAGGAGTGGGGCCTTGAGAGATATAGTTTTACACACAAACCAACACATTTGTATGTACTTTCTTCTTCTATTATTTGGGCACACTGTGTGTCTTGTGGGATGTTAGTTCCCCAACCAGGGATCGAAACTGGGTTCCCTGCAGTGGAAGCACCAAGTTCTAACCACTGGATCATCAGAGAAGTCCCCCCCCCTTTTTTCCTAAGAAATTTCTATATATTTTAAAGTTTAAAATTGCTGTCATAGTATATGTGTACATGTGTTTTTTGCTGAGAATAAAACTGTCACAACAGAAGATCATTTGGGAAATGTAAATTCTTGATGAATTTGTATAAAACCCTGTAAGAAACATATAGCCAAGAACATCTATATATATATAGTGAGAGGAATTTAACTTGATCAACTGAAACATAATAAAAGACTTTTCCAGATTAAAAAAAAATAATGCTGCTAACACTGGGTAAGCTCCCAGCTGGGGTGAGCTGCTGTGACAGTCACACTTCAGGGCTTCAGATTCCTTAACTAACATGAGGGCATCAGACGGCCTATTTCCAGTGTTGCCTCTGGCTCCAAATTCCAACAAGTATCTGGATTAGGACAGAGTGCTAAGTGCACTTGGAACTAGGAGGGAAATGGTCATTCCTCCTGGCATACATTCTCCATCTCCCTCCCCCATCCCCCCCAAAAGCACAGAGCATGAGGATCAACAGAAACCCAGTCTTCCTGTCCAGGGCCATTGTGGAGAACAAGGTCTGATGTCAACACAAACCACGACTAAGCAGAGTCCCAGAGCTCCTTCTCCTCAATACTGTGGTTGTACCACCTTTCTGCTGATTGGGAACGTAAGCCAAGATGCAGCTAACTACATCCTGCTCTCGTCACACTGTCCACAGCCCCCATCTGCTGTGGCCCAGAGCCTGCAAAGGCACAGATGCTGTAAGGCTTCCCCTTAGCAAAGTCCCTCTTTGTAAATCTCTCCCTCTTGGCAATAAGGGATGGAAGTTCCAGGCCCCAGGGCTCTGGAGATTGGATACTCTGAAACTGCCTAATGATACAGCTCTGCCTGGAAGCTGGCTGTCCCTGAATCAAATCCAGGGTGTCTCAGAAGGCCACAGAGAGGGCATCTGATACAGTTGCCAGTGCGGTGGCGGCATCTTCAGTGTATTTTCCACGACTAGCAGCAGAGCTTACTGTCCCCACTTACTCCAGGTCCTGCACAGAGCCGCCCACACAGTGGAACCTCTCAGGCACCATCTTCCAGTCTTTAGCCATCTTCACCATGGCACCTGTGTCTAGGACCCCGTAGCCAAAGAGGTGATCAAACTCCAGGCCAACCCAGTTCCTCCGCCACTGATGGACCTCGTTGTGAATGAAGCTGGTTCTGCTTGGAGGTGAGCACAGTCAGAGGCTGCATGTCTCTCCAGGTCAGACCCAGGCTGTGGACCGGAGGCAGAGCGTTTGAGGACAAGGGCATGGGACAGGGATGAAGGGGAGGAAAAAGAGACACAATGACTAAGATAGCACATAGACCTCAAGTAAGATTTTGGAACATCTATGAACCCCCAAGTCAAGAGAGGATTATCCATGCATTATTTATAATATAGGTATAGCTGTACATCAAATAAAAGTCTTGCCTTTCTTGCTTAAATATATTTCAAATGCAAAAACTGACACACACTGGGATGGCTAAAATGAAAAAGGCAGACAATACCAAGTGTTGACAAAGATGAAGGACAACTGAGTACTCTGCAGATGGGAGTATAAATTACTGCAAACACTTTGGAAAACAGTTTGACTCTTATCTTCTCATGTTGCCCAAGTGCTTAAGCTGTGGCCCAGAAGTTCCATTTCTAGGAGTGTAGCCAACAAAAATGTGTGTATATATTCACCAGATGTATATGTACTGGAAATGTCCATAAGCCCAAACTATGAAGCCCCCAAATGCCCATCTGCAGTAAAGTGGATAAGCCAACTGAGATGTATTTATTGGACGTGCAACACTGCACTTCAGTGAGAATAAAATCTAGCTACTCAGAATAACTGGGATGAAGAGAATGCTGACCCAAAGAAGTCAGACACAGAGGAGAACAAACTGTATGATTCCAGTCACTTAAAGTGGAAACGCAGGCACAGCCACTGCGTGCTGTCAGAAGCCAGGCTGGTGGTGGTTCTCAGGCAGGCGGTGCTGGAGGGACACGGAGGCTGCTGGGCGCGCACCGAGCTCTGTTTCCGGGTCTGAGTGTTGGCCGTGTGGAACCGTTCCGTTTGGGAACAGGGCACAGCCACTGTGTGCTGTCGGAAGCCAGGCTGGTGGTGGGTCTCGGGCAGGCGGTGCTGGAGGGACACGGAGGCTGCCGGGCGCGCGCTGAGCTCTGTTTCCGGGTCTGAGTGTTGGCCGCGTGGAACCGTTCCATTTGGGAACACGGGCTGTCAGTTCTTCAAGAGCAGAGACAACAGCCACAATAGCTGGCTCCCCAGGGCCCAGGACGGCCCTCCTTGGCAAGTTGGCTTGCAGAGGTGTCTCTGGAAGTTGGTGTCTACTATTACTCAATATCTGTGTTTTTCAAAGTCTCAGTCATGACCCATTTGTGGGCTAGAAGGTTGACTGACTGCATGGGCTGTGTATCTGGGTTGCACAGTAAAATCATTTGTGGGACATTTAAGACCAAACCGCTCCAGCCTCATCTCAGACTAAGTAAATCAGAATCTCTGGGAGGGGGACCCAGGCTTGGGAAATTGTTAACACTTCTCAGGTCATTCCAGGAGACAGCTGAGGTTGAGAAGTAGGTTCTATATGAATGAAGCTGTCAAGAGTGGAAGAGAACAGAAAAGAATAACAGTGTGACTGTAAAATGGGGAAAGTGTGTGTGTGTTATGTGTTGAGTTGGAATGCAAAATGTATTTCTCACTGACAGTCATGGTCAAAAAAGTTGGAAAACCTTTGCACTACAGTTCTCCTCAGAATCAAATGATTCAAAGAAAATCACTCATTTGATAAAATCTCATCATGGGCAGGTTTCATTGGTTCAAAACTTTGAATGAGAGTCAGAAGATGCTAGTGATTCATATGCTCTTGAAATATAGACTTTCAGTTTTTAAGGAGAAAGTTTCAAGCAAAGTCAATGCTTATTTGAGAAATTTAAGAACATATTTATTTAGGACATATGGTCCCCTGGACATACAGACTAGGTGCACACTGTGAAATTTCCTGACATTGATTGTGGCTGAAAGCTCAGTGTTTTGGTAGAATAGGATTCTGAAACATTTAACCCAAAAGTGTTGATAAATGAGGATCTGCTAACTTCAAGGTGATCAGAAGGCTAGCTGATGGCAGGTGGGGTAGCTCTCACCTTTGCAAGGGGTTTTGCCACAATAATGTGCTATGCTTCCTCAAGGACCTCCATGGATTTACTCTCATGGGGCCCGTGAGAGAGAAAGAGTGTGTCAGAATGAGGATGTTCTCGTTTCTAAACTAAATCAGAGCAAGGTCCATAGTCCAGCATCAGAATTTGTGACACTGGTTGAACAACCATTTGCTTATGCCTGAAAAGTAACACTGAGTCCCTCCTAGTTTTATATTCTGAGCAACTTCTGAATTGATCAAAGACATGCATATGTGCTAAGTCGCTTCAGTCCTGTCTGACTCTTTGTGACCTCAGGCTCCTCTGTCCATGGAATTCTACAGGCAACAATACTGGAGTGGGTTGCAATGCCCTTCTCCAGGGGATCTTCCCAACCCAGGGATCAAACCCACATCTTATGATTCCTGCATTGGCAGGTGGGTTCTTTATCACTAGCACCACCTGGGAAGGCCTGACAGAAGACAGTGTGTTTGTGTTAGTAATCCAGTTGTGTCCAGCTCTTTGCAACCCCATGGCCTGAAGCCTGCCAGGCTCCTCTGTCCATGGAATTCTTCAGGCAAGAATACTGGAGTGGTCTGCTATTCCCTTCTCCAGGGGATCTTCCCAACCAAGGGATCGAACCTGGGTCTCCTGCATTCAGGCAGACCCTTTCCTGTCTGAGTCACCAGGGAAGCCCCATTGTGTAAAACAGGGATCTCACAACCTGCTTCAAGCTTTAATCCTACTACGGCAGCTCAAGAGATGTAGGTGATATCTATTAACTAGTATAAAATAAATGTACAGAATACCTACAGTATGGAAATCACTCTGTTCAGGGTTAAAAGCAAGGAATAGGCCATGCTCTTAAACAGTTTATGTAAGAGTTGGGAAAGTAAGACAGATCTATGGAAAAGCACTGCACAGTCAAGTGATTCTATGAACATCTATTGAGTGTGTATGATGTCCAGGCTCTACACTAGTTCTGAGCAGGCTGTGGGAAGGTCTCAGAGCCTGCAGTCCGGGAGGCAGACAGAAAGACACCTCAATATTTAAACAGGGGGAGCCGAGCTCCCTCCCTGTCATGCCAAGGGAGTCAGCAATGGGGACCTGGAGTTATCCCAAGGAGAGCATCTCACAGAATGTGGACCAGCATCAGAACTACGTGGGGACCCGCCACAAACATGGATTCCTGGTCTCAACCTCAGGTCTCTGGCATCGGACCTCCTGGAGGCTGTGGGCCTGAGGATGCACACTTAGGACTGTGCCCAGGTGATGCTTCTGCACACAGAGTTTGAGAGCACGGGTCTGAGACGGCGGTTCACAACCTCGGCTGCATGTGTGGACAGCATGAACACAATGATGACGTCAGACAGGACCCAGAATTGTTGCTTCCACGGACCTGTCCATACCTCTGCCAAAGGCTTGAAGGATCCAGAGGCGGGAGAAGGCAAATATTATGCAGGTGATAAACTTTAAAAAGCACAGGAGGTCCAGAGCCCCGATTGTCAGGGAGAGAGAGCCGGGGACTGAGGCACAAGAGAACCAGACTTTAGGACATCGGAACTTTATCTGAGGAATAGATACGAAGGCAGAGGCACTTGAGTTGATCTTTAGAAACATCATCCAAAGAAGGAATTAAGATGTGTGGGATTGGAAGGCAGTAATATTTAATAACAGTATGGAGTAATCTCTCAGACATAATGCTGAACATCATCCAAAGAAGGAATTAAGACATGTGGGATTGGACAGCAGTAATATTTAACAGCAGTATGGAGGAATCTCTCAGACATAATGTTGAACCAAAATTCCCATACTGATACTTAGGTGATGGTCTATTTCCTGATTGGGAGCTGGTTACATTGATGTTTAAGGCTTCCCTGGTTGCTCAGATGGTAAAGAATCTCCCTGCAGTGTGGGAGATCTGTGTTCAATTCTTGGGTGTGCAAGATCCCCTAGAGAGGGAAATGGCTACCCACTCCAGTATTCTTGCCTGGAGAATCCCATGGACAGAGGAGCCTGGTGGGCTACAGTCTACAGGGTCTCAAAGAGTTAGATATGATTGAGTGACTAACACCAATACTACATGGATGTGTTAACTTTATAAGAAGTCTTTGAGCTGTCCCTAACATGTGTACACTTGTCTCTATGCCTATTATACTTTGATGGGGCTTACATGACAAAATCCATCCTTGGAAGGGCACTTTCAGAAACACTGTTCTAGCCTAGAACGTGGGCCGCTTTACTGTGGATGATTCTCCTGGGCCAGAAGTTTGCCTCCTTATGACCCCCTCAGACCTGGCTTGGCCCTCTAGAACCCCACAGAAAGTCTGGGGTAATGGAGAAAACCCCACATATGGGAAGGTAGCTGTGTGTGTGTGTGTGCTAAGTCACTTCAGTCATGTCCAACTCTGTGCGACCCTGTGGACTGCAGCCCTACAGACTCCTCTACCCAAGGGATTCTCCAGGCAAGAATATTGGAGTGGGTTGCAATTTCCTTCTCCAGGGGATCTTCCTGAGTCCGGGATCGAAACTGCGTCTCTTACATCTCCTGCATTGGCAGGCGGGTTCTTTACCACTAGCACCACCTAACCTCCACTAGAGATATCCTGCAAAACTTCTCTAATATTGGACTCCCTGGGAAACGTGAGCAATGATCCCTGGGGAATCAAGAAAGTGTTTTCAAGCATTTGGCAGAAAAGCATTTTATGAGATTAAACAACAAGGTGATGACTAATCAGGACAGAAGAATCGGTTCCCTTTGTCCCCTGGAGCCACAGGGATGGTCCTTCTACCTCTTTCATGGTCCTGATGGGCGGATGTTTTAGACAGGATAATTTGTTTACTGCATTCAGGTTGCTTTGGAAAAGCGTTCCAGTTGGCCCTCAGAGTGGGAAACAGCCCTGACTGCTGCCACATAGGTCCCCAAGGACTCCCAGGTGCCTCGTCTGAACACAAAGAGAGGCGAGCTGCAGGAAGTGTTCACAGAGAGAGCCTCCTCCTTCTGGGCTCTCTCCCGGGGCTGTTTCATGCTGATCAGAGGTTTTAACTCCTGGTTTTGTTGTTGTTCAATCGCTCAGTGGTGTCCGACTCTTTGCAACCCCATGGACTGCAGCACGCCAGGCTGCCCTGTCCTTCACCATCTCTGGGAGTTTGCTCAAACCCATGTGCATCGAGTCAGTGATGCCACCCAACCATCTCATCCTCTGTCACCCCCTTCTCCTCCTGCCCTCAATCTTTCCCAGCATCAAGATCTTTTTCAATGAGTCAGCTCTTCGAATCGGGTGGCCAAAGTATTGGAGATTCAGCTTCATCCTCCCAATGAACATTGGAGCACTTTTGCCCACTGAAAAGCCTTGGACTTTACCACCCCAGGAAGGGTTTATGCAGCCCGGCTCCCTTGCCTTGATTTGGAATAAACTCTGAGGCATGATTTACACTCTAGAACTCCCCCTGGGGTCAGGCTGAGGCCAGAACCTCTGGAATCACATCCTTGATCAGATCCTTTCCCATCTCTAACCTGCTTCCTCTCTTTCCCAGTGGTCTCTGCTTAATGAATCACACCAAACTCTAATCTCGGGGTGTGTTTCCAACCCAGGTGGCTGGTGTTCTGAGAAATTTGAGGACTGGCTTCCAAGATGGGCTTGAACCACCTCCTACCGTGTATCATTTCCCCTCCTGTTTATGGCAAGAGAGTGCTCAGTTGATGACCACTGCTCCAAAATGAAGTATGCCTAAATAGTGACTGCATTCTTTTCTGTAAGGAAAGCTGCGAGTGTGGTAAAGAATGAGGAATAATTGGTGCAGAGCCCATGAATCTGTTGAAAGTTCCAGCACTTTGATTGATCTAGATGTCACTTTGTTGGCATATAGGATTCCCAGGTAGCTTAGTGGTAAAGAACTCGCTGCTAATTCAGGAGACATAAGAGATGTGGGTTTGATCCCTGGGTCGGGAAGATTCCCTGGAGGAGGGCATAGCAACCCACTCCTATATTCTTGCTTGAAGGATCCCAGGGACAGAGGAGTCTGGTGGGCTAAGTTGTTGGCATATACACCTGGGCAGGTGACTTTTTGCTTGCCAGAATCCAG